TAATAATCTTGCCGCTATCTGTGTTTTTAATGTTAACCAAACAGCAAAAGACAGAAAAAAAAATCACTTTTGGAACTTCAAGAATAACTTTTGTAACTTCAATAGGTATTCATTTATTTCAATAGGTCACGAAATAATTACTTGTTCAAAATAAGTACCTACTCAGAAAGTATGCAATTTTGAGACACAGCCAACTTTTATGAATTGTAAAGCCTAAAAAAATCACTAGAAGTAAAAAGTCAATTAAACGTAAATTTAAAGTTACACTGTGTGATTTTTAGCCCCATCTAGTGGTGAAAATTTATATAACCATCCAGTGAATATTAGTTTCTGTTCCTCTCAATTCCGATTTCGTTTTAACTCCTCTCCTACGGTGGCCATTGTAGTCCAAGATTAACATGGCTTCCAGTTCGACCTCGTCCGTGAGTGTTAACTCAAACGTAAACGTAAACGCGAAAGGCGAAGCTTGAATTAACGGGTATGTCCCTCTTTGGCTAATGCACTTTCAAGATGGAGGGGCAACATGGCGACCGAAATAAGAACCCCTTACCCGTATGTATTTTCAATGGCATATTATACACTCGCGAGAATACTTTATTACTTGAACGAAGTAAATATACATTAATGAGCACATATATGTTTGAAAGAACTAAGTGTTTTTAGCTAAGAATAAACTAAAAGAGTACATAGTGTCGCTTTAAAAGCAAAATGTAGGCTGTAAACAAACTACACGAGTTCAACACCTATTAATTGTTTTACCCCTAAAGAAATGAATAGTACAGAAATATTATTAAAATGGCTGGTCTAGAAAAAGCTTGGTGGCTGCCATCATGTGAAGATCACATGACCAGCATTTTACTGACTTTATCTCTGTGATCAGACACTTTTGTTGGCTTGTGAAAGAAAATGAAAGAATACCTTCAGAGAAAAGAACCTACGTTACTTTTATGATGATAACGTTTGACTTATAGTCATTTTACTATATATAAATGTTGTAGGCTCCCGAGATCATCCAGATGTGGTGGAGTCATTTATGCAGCTTCATGCTCAGGTCTGTGCTCGTTTATTTTTGCCTTAGTCTTCAGACTTCAGATTTTATATTTTACATACATTTTCATTGGTCAAAAGAACAATAAGATAATCTATGATGTCTTTGCAGGTTTTGAGAAGAAAGTCTGAGCTTTATCTTTCAGACCATCTTGATATTAAAGCTGTATTCTACTGTGGTGAGTGTCACTTCAGCAAGCTCATTTAACAATGCTCAACATTCATTCATTCATCCATTAACTGTCGATGTGTATGTAGGAATCTTGTCATTCAAATTCCCTGAAACTCCAACACTGAAAGCAACCTGTCTGCTATTTGTAAGTACTCTATAACACGTTTAGCATGTTCATCTTCAGTTCATCTTTACAGAGACCTGTAGTGGAACATACATATATGGAGGGATTATTGGGTCAGATTGAAAACTAAAAGATAAAAACTAAATTTCGAAAACTCGGTCTGACGACGAGAAAGCATGCTCGGTGTTGGTAAAATGGACGAGGGAAAGGTGTTGGTCGAGGATGAACTCTCCACCGTTACCTTTTCTTGGTCTAAAACGTCAAGCCCATATGGATAAGGATAAGGACGCTTGGCCAGTGTGCTCCTTAGCACTGGGAGCGCCCTCTGCTGTCCATAAGGTGCCTCTGCGCACCAGCCATTTCAAATCCAGCCTCCAGTATTTGGGCCACGCCTCCTTATTTGCATACACTCCTCAATCCTCAAATGCCCAATCCTAAATGGCTAAATGACCACATGCCCAATCATAAATACAAAATGCCCTATCCTAAATACCAAATTCATTTTCGACTTTTAGTTTTCAATCTGACCTAATAGCATTAGTAATTGTAAAGTTAGTTGACACTTGAGTGGAGTATTTAGTAACCAGACTGAGCTCTCTCGACACAGACGGAGCTGATCTCTCATTGTGAGGACGTTCCTGCTGTGAGGGAGCTGTTACATGATGACGGCAAGCTGCTCCTTCAGACCCTACTAGAGGTCAGATCTTTCTGTATGCAATTCAATCAGCGGTTTTAGACAGACTCTATGTGCATTAGTGGTGGGGTCGGGGATTTGAGTCAATGAATCATTCATTCGTCTGGTTCGATCATACTGATTCACTTAGTACGGAAACAAGACTCTCCTTATGAGTGAGTCATTGAAGCATTCACTCTTGCTAGTTGTATAAAAACACTGATTAATTTAGAAAAAAAATAAGTGAATGTCTTTATGAGTGAGCCATTGAATTATTAATTAACCTATTTGTTCAATCACACTGATTCACTTATTATGGAAACAAGTGATTGAGGTTCATTGAATCTTTCACTTAAAGGAGTAGTTCACTTTTAAAAAAACTTTTGCTGATAATTTACTCACCTCCATGTAATCCAAGATGTCCACGTCTTTCTTTCTTCAGTCGAAAAGAAATTAAGTTTTTTGATGAAACGGTTCAAGGTCCAAATGAGAGTTTCAGTGCAGCTTCAAAGGGCTTTAAACGACACCAGACGATGAATAAGGGTCTTATCTAGCGAAACGATCGCTCATTTAAAAAAATAAATAAAAAAGTTTAAGTTTTATAAGCACAAATGCTCGCCTTGCTCTGTTCTGTGATGAGCGTTCGTGACTCTCCCGTTCAAACTCGTTCATCAAAATGAACAAATGTTTTTTCGAGTCATGACTCTTATTCATCGTCTGGTGTCGTTTAAAGCCCTTGAAGCTGCACTGAAACTCTCAGGACCTTGAACTGTTTTGTTCCCATTGAACTGAAGTCCATTATATGGAGAAAATCCTGGAATGTTTTCATCAAAAACTTTAATTTATTTTCGACTGAAGAAAGAAAGACGTGGACATCTTGGATGACATGGGGGTGAGTAAATTATCAGCAAAAGTTTTTTTAAAAGTGAACTACTCCTTTAACTGTTTCATTCAAAAGCAACAAAATAAGTGACTGTCTGCATCCGAAATCCCATACTTCCCTAGAAAGCGAAAAACAGTTTGTGACAAATGAAAGTGTCAGAATTCACAGTACTCATAAAAGAGTAGTCAAAAAGTACCTGGATGACCTACTACTTCAGTTGAGATTCTGAAGTGTGCATACAATGGACACTTCACTATCCCATGAGGCCACGGGAGAGGATTTGTGGATGGCGGTGAAGCAACACAACTGACGCTGATAGGTCACATGACCGTGACAATGTAGTTTATGCTGACCTGAATACATTCATACTACACACATCATACAATATAGAACATACTTTTTTAGCAGCCGTGATGTATTTAATTATTCGAAATGAGCATTCAATACTAGAGCATGTAAGGTACCAATTTCATTGTCCAACGCAGGCTATTGGGGGTCAGTGTCCGAGCAGTCTGGCTGAGCACTACGCGGAGGTCTTGTTCTCAGTGAGTCGTAACTGTCCCAGTGTTCTGTCTCTGTGGCTCAGAGAGGCTCTTCTGCCCCCTGGTTTTCCCAGCTCACACCTCACTGCTGAGAACAAAGAGCACTTCTGCCAGCAGATCCTCAGGTAGGGCCACGACATTAGCATTAGCATTAGCACCAGAACACCAGACTTTGCACTTTAAACACATTTTGTATTCATTTCTTCTGTTTAACCCTTCGCACAGGGAACAAGCGAGTAAGCGACGGATGAAGGACATTGTGAAAGAGTTTGCACTGTTGAGTCGGGGACTTACAGCAAGCTACTAAACACACTCTCCATGCAAGACCCTGATTGGATCTTGAGACATTTGCTTTAGGTCAAAAGATACAGTGCACACTTTAGAATACAATAAAGCTAAATTGTCAACATCCTATGATTGAAAAAGCAAAACCGGATGACTTAATTAAACTTGATTTTGGTCTTATCATCTGTAAACATCAAAACAGCACTGATTTTACCACGGAGAGATTTTTTTTTTTGTCTGGTTTACTATTAAAACAAGTTACATTTACTTTTCAGAGAATATATCTCTATTTTTCTTTGCTTGTTGAAAAATGTTTTAGGATAAACCTCATTAAATGTTGTGATTATGCAAGTCTTATCTTAAGCAATTTCCTCCATTTTAAAGACCTTTTAAAGGGATAGTTCACTTTGAAATTAATTTTTGATATGTTTTAACTTACCTCAAGAGCATCCAAGATGTAGGTGTCTTTGTTTCCACAGTATTTTCAATTTTGATATTTTTAGGTCAAACCGTTGTTGTCTGTCAGTCATATAATGGAGGTCTATGGTCACCACCTCAAAGAGCATGCACAGAGAAGTCCAAATTAAACATGATTTAATGACTCGTAAATGTAAGTACACATTGATGGCCTAAGACACGAAACGAGCGGTTTGTGTGAGAAAACGAACAGTATTTATATCGTTTTTACCTCTTGTAACCACAGCCACGTCCAAGTGATCTGACGACACGGGCACTTCGGTCTGCGCAAGCGCCGGAAGTGATCTCTTGCATGGTTGTGAAAAAAAAAATCGACATTATCTGTTGATATCTCGAAATCGTCTTCTCGCCTTTCTCACTCGTTTCGTGATTCTAAAATGTATTAAAATGTAAATTAAATTACATTTTTTTTAAATTATTTTCTGTGATGAAAATCCTGTCATTACCCGTCATCCTTCAGAAATCTTTATAATATGCTGATTTACTGCTCAAGAAACATTTATTTTTATTATCGATGTTGAAAACAGTTGTGCTGCTTAATATTTCTGTGGAAACCGATACACTTTTTTCAGGATTCTTTGATGAATAGGAAGTTCAAATAAAAAGAGATAAAACATCTTTTGTAACATTATAAATGTCTTTACTGTCACTTTTGATCAATTTAATGCATCTTTGCAGAAAAGTACTTATTTCTTTAAAAAACAAATCTCACAGACCCCAAACTTTAAGCCATACAACTATTGCTCGACGTACAGTAAATAGAACCTTTTGTCTGTTCGCCATAAAAAGTCACAGGATTTGTGTTAAGTGCATTTATTTCTCACAGATTTCATGATCTGTTTTGATACACACATATAAAATATGTAAATTTTCATAAGCCATTTCTGTATAACCTCATGACTGAAGTCATGATAATAACAATATAGGTCATATAGGTTCATTTCTCTATTAATACTTCTACTTATACAATAGCACATCTGTTTCGACATCCACAATGTACAATAATAAGAAGAACCGACTGAATCTTAACACAAACAACAAGCTCACTCAATTTCATTGGGTAAAACAGAAATCTGCTCAGTAAAAAAAGAGAGGAAGTGCTAGGGTCTCTCTCCCTGTCGGAAGGTCTGGAGTTGATGCAAGGACTCGAGAGTGAGTTCAAGGCTTTCATTCGTTCACGTGATTGGATGGACTTCTGTGAATTAGCGTATCCTGGTGAACAGGTTCAACACTGATTTGGATTCCTGGAAACAGACGAAAAGAATGTGAAACGGGTCACAGTTGAGGTGCAGGACGAGCTACACTACTTAAGCCTGACCTTGGTGCAGCGTGTCTTGCTGAAGACATTCCAGAACCTCAGTGTCTCGTCTCCTGCTCCGGTCACGATGGCCTCGCCGTCCGGAGACACCGCCTGCACACAACCAAGACACCCACATTCACTTCTAATGCGTGTCTGAACGAACACAGGATAACATTATTACATTACAGATCTTAGATTTGATTACTCTTTTGTCTTCGTCGGTCATTTGTACATAATTAAAAACTGGATCCGGAGACAACCATGCCAACCACGGTGTCTCTTAACAACGCTATAAAGTGAGCTTTGTGGTTTCGATTAAACATAAAAGGTCGGAAAATAAGATACGTTAAGAAAAACCACAAGGAATACTGATTTTAAAATACCTTTTTCAGGAAGTTTATATTGAATGACTAAAATCTAAAAAAAAATTTTTTTCAAAAGTACTTTTTTTATAAACACACTCACTGGCCACTTTATTACCGGGTTGGACTCACTTTTGCCTTCAGAACTGCCTTTATTTGAGTTTTTTGTCTGTATGTAAATGAATTGCAGATCCGATTAAACACTTACCAAGTAGAGCACTCGGTACGAATGTCCAGTGAGCTTGGCTACCTGGGTGAGTGATGGGTATTTCCACACCAGGATCTGGTTCTGGGAGTAGCCGTGTGTGCTGACCTAATAGACATCAATGGTGAAAGCCAGCATTGGGAGGGGGGAAATCACATGACACATGACTGAGGTTGTAGTTGCGTTTCTTACCAGCTCGTTGGCGTGTTTGGACCAGGCCAGGTTGCAGACCTGTGAGCCGGTGTCGGTACTCTGCAGTGCCTGTCCGGTCAGAGTGTTCCAGAAGCGAAGGCAGCGGTCAGCCGTTCCCCCTCCCGAGGCCAGCAGGCCGTGCTGGTGAGGAGACCATGCGATGGCCTTCACGGCCGCCAGGTGATCGCTGTACTGCTGCACGGGGAGCAGACTCGAGCTGTTCCACACCAGCAACTGAAGCAGAGCAAAAACACAGGTTCCTTTGTGTCATGCTATTTAGACTGAATTGTACTAGTTTTTTTTCAGTTTCTTATGCAATACTAATAAATCTGAAATGGTCCATATATACATTGCGTTAAAGGGTTAGTTCACCCAAAAATGAACATTCTGTCAGTATTTACTCACCCTCATGTTGTTCCAACCCCGTAAGACCTTCGTTCTTCTTCGCAACACAAATTAAGATATTTTTGATGAAATCTGAGAGCTGGATCACTCCTGCATACTAGTCCATAGGCTTCTTGAGGGATTGAAATTGCCGGCCTCGAAAAGTTATTCAAGACATCGTTAAAATAGTTCAAGTGACTTCAGTGGCTCAATTTTAACTTTATCAAGCGACGAGAACACTTTTAGTGCGCAAAAACAAACAAAAATAACGACTTTATTTTAACTATTCACTTCCTTCTCTATGGGCCTGTAGTCCGTTAACGTAGTGTGATTGCGTAGAGCTTTGTCACACGTAGGCTCACTATTGGCCGACGCTGGTCATGTGTGTGATGCGTGTGACGTACAATAACAGGAGCTTACGTTATTAAACTAGTAACCTGAGTCGAGGCAGAGAGAGAAGTAAATGAATAGTTGAAATAAAGTCGTTATTTTTGTCGTTTTTTGCGCATAAAAGTTTTCTCGTCGTTTGATAAACTTAAGATTGAGCCACTGAAGTCACTTGGACTATTTTAACGAAGTCTTTAATAACTTTTTGAGGCCGGCAAGTTTCAATCCCTCAAGAAGCTTATGGACTAGTATGGAGGAGTGATCCAGCTCTCAGATTTCATTAAAAATATCTTAATTTGCGTTCAGAAGATGAACGAAGGTCTTACAGGGTTGGAACAACATGAGGGTGAGTAAATACTGACAGAATTTTCATTTTTGGGTGAAATAACCCTTTAATTCGTTTTTTTGGTTTAAAGGCACACTATGTAATTTTTCGCCACTAGAGGTTGTTTATTCAAAGCAAACGGCTACGCCAGCTTGATGCCGCCTTGATTTCGTGGAATCGTGGGAGTTGTTGTCTTCTACAGCTGGTGGAGAATACGACGGGACTCGGGCAGGAATCATATTCATGGATGATCGGTAATGTATTAAAGATTTATAAACGTTATGAAAGTCGCTGGAGCGGAACAAGGCGCTGGAGCGATTGCTAATGAGAGACGAGCGCTCGAGAGTGGAGCTTTTATTATTCCCGCTTCTTCCGGTCATGCGTGTGTGCGGGGTTACGCAGCGCTGTTTTATCATATTACATGCATTTGAGTTTGATGAAAGGTGTTATAAGGCCACTCTGTGTGTTTGCTCGGCGGCTTCTATATGAAATACTCGTTGCACACCGCGGTGAGCTAGATATTAGACATGGTATATACAGTATGGTTCTCACGGTAAATCAAGAAAACGAGATATAAACCAAAAAAGTGTTGAGCTACATAACAATGATTCGTTCGAATAAAACACATAATATTAAATATTAATATTAATTATTAATTAATATTAAAGCTTCTTTGGTGTTTCTATGGTTTCTACAAAATAAAACCGAAAATCGAGGGTAACGCGGGTATGATGTCATTGATAGGCGACCATTGGACACGGTCTTGGTTAAAACTGCTTATTTTTCTGGATTCAAATATTCTTAGAAACATGTTGTGATAATGCAAGTACACAAATCAACAAAATATATAACATTGTTCTAGTGGTTTTGGGATATTTTAATCCAAAAATCTTACATAGTGTGCCTTTAAAAGGTACAATATAATGGTTCACTATGGCAAGCCTATTATAAGTGAAATTGCATACAAACATCACTCGCCCATTTGTGTTTCTCCGGCTACTTTACACTTGTATGGTGGGCGAGTGGCATAAGGTAGTAAATCTTGAACTTCCAGGGAATCACCCGGTTAAACAAACACCATTTTTCAGGTAAGTAAGGTATTTTACTGAACGGATAAATTGCCATATGTAGCTCTCCAACAGAGTTCATTGTAAAGCATTATATAAGGGTAATATTCATATGCAGCCGAAGCACAACCAAAAAATGCTCTTCCACAAAATGCAAATGCATTGTTTAACCACTAGAGGCCAAACATTACATAGTGTATTGAAAGCAGAAAAATAAACCTGTGCCTTGATATATATAAACACTTAATAAATGCATAAAAAATGCTGGATGACTATTATTTAAGACAACTGATGATGGCATCTTTTGTTGACCGATCAGTGCCCACCCATGTGTGGAAATCAAATATTCAAGCTGTTTATCTTATTTTCTACCCCTGAATCTAAAAATGAAAAGTTGAATTTTGTAAGTTTACACCATTCACAATGTCTTTCTGAACAATTCTGAGTGATATAGTAAGCTTTTCTATTGGTACACATGGAAAATGTTTACTGTTATTAGATTAAAATGACATAAGAGTCCACATCTTCATATTCATGTTTATTTCATAAGGAATGTTGAATTTTAAATTATTTTATACCATTTTCAATAAGTTTATGAAATGAAATTGATGATTGATTGAATGAAAATATCATGTTGTGTAACCATTATCTACACATAATTAAACTTTGAATACATGCGAGTTGCGAGTATCCACATCTTAACTATTATTTCCAAAACTTTTTTTTTTACTTTTAAGCAAATCATTTTTTTTTTTTTTTTTACAAATCTCAAATTATTAATTCATAAATATCCATTTTGGGAAGTCACACCACATAACATTTTATAACCTGAACTAACTCATGCCATAAAAAGTTATTTTCTGCATCTTGGTCGCGCATAATTTTAATTTGGTGAAGTTATGACATGAATAACTTAGAATAACACTTTTGGATTACACTTTATTTTAATGTGTCCTTGTCACAGTGTAACCATACATTTAAGTACTGAATAAAACATGTACTTACTATAGGGTTAGGTTTAGGATTCAGGTTTGATTTAGGGTTATTATATATTATATATATATATAAAATTAATTTTATTATTTTATTATTTTTAATATTATTATATTATATTATTATTATTAATTGTCATTATACTAAAGTAACAACATGTAATGTGTAACAAGGACACTGCAAAGTAAAGTGTTTTTAAAGGTGAAATTTGATGTGAATAATACATACACAAACCTAAAATCTTTGAATAAACCATATTCCCAGCCAACTTCATGTCTTGCATGTTCAATTAGGTCTCATTTTTAGATCATCCCGTTTTATTGACGCTAACCTTGTTATCGTTCCCTCCAGAGGCGAGGTGTTGGTGGTCAGGTGACCACTTGAGGCCACACACTTCCTGCCTGTGGCCCTGGAGGCGCCTCTCCACAGGCGGAGGTGTCCTCACGTCCCTTTGTAGGATCACTCTGTCCCGGCTACCCGACGACAGCTGCTCTCCGTTCCACGCAAGCGCTCCTGAGAGACACGAGAGGAGGTGAGACTCAAACTCTTATAATATGATGACGAGTTGTTCTTATGAGGATCTTAGCTCTCTTAGGGCAAAAAAAAGAAATCTGACATTGTTCTGAGACTGATTTCAACACATAAGACTTTTGTTCATCTCCATATGAATCGAGTGATTGAATCAAAGCCTTCTGAAGAGACTTGATCGCTTTATATACTGAAAAGATTTCATTTAGGCTTTTACTTGCATATAAACATTGATACATAAAGCACTTCAAATATGGTGAATGTTTCGAAGAACGTTTATTAGGTTTGGAACCACATGGGTGGTTCATCATTGTAATTGATGACAGAATTGTAATTGTTTGGGTAAACTAACCCTTTAAACCAGTAAAAGTTTTAAGTGAGTGAGTGATTGTCACATGACACAAACCTACGCGTGCTGAATGTCCCTCCAAACTGGTCAACTTCCTCCCTCCAGCTGCATCCCAAATCTGAACAAATCCCTTATGGGTCCCTACAGCCACCAGACTTCCCTGAGAGAACGACAAAGTCAATATTATCCTGGATAAATACAAAGCCCACAAGTTAGACATTTTTATATAACATGTAAGAGGTTTGTGCTGACCCTCTCATTCCAGCACACTGATGTCACGGAGTCGCCATCCACAGATAAGTCACACAACCGCGTCACCTTTGTAAGTTTGGAAGTGTAAAATGAAATGCTCATTACTGACAGTCAGACCAGATCGTGTCTTAAAAGTCTGTCACATCACATACCTGGCTGGTACAGGCACTCCACAGGTAAACACAAGCCCCCAAACCAACACTCAAGAGATTTCCAGCTGACCAGTCCACCTGTTCACAAACACTTTCTGTCAAATTACTACACTGCAAATGTTAAAATGCATATTGTGGAGACTATAGCACAATTACGTCATGTTCTAACCAGACGTGACGCGACAAAATCAAACTAAAATCACAGCCAATCAGAACAGTGTGTGGGTGGAGTCTCTCATGCAATGGATACGTACACATTCAAATTCATATTTCACTATTTTACAATTACATTTAATGCATTTGGCAGACGCTTTTATCCAAAGCATTTCAAGGTACACATTTACATTCTTAGCAATTCTTGCTTTTCCTGGGAATCGAACCCATGACCTTGACCCATGACCTTGTCGACCTAGTGTCAACGCTCCACTGTTTGAGCTTCAGGAAAGCTAATTTTAATACATACTGAGTGATTAAAACAGTCTTTGTCATAGAACACACTTGTTTGTTCACACTGGTGTTCACATTTCTCATTTCCTTTCATTTATTTTCAACATCTGAGGTGAATTATCCATGTATGATTCTCACAATATACTCACAATAAATTCTTTTAACCCTCTGGTTCTATTTGGTAAAAAAAATTGAATTGATGTTTATTTTTTTTATTTTTTTTAGTTCATCAGAATGGAACGGAACTTGGTAAAGATTTTGGCATTTGCTATGTGAACACACACACACAAAAAAAGAAAAAATCATGGCCATAATTCGAAAAGGTTAAATGGTCCTGAGAAAAATAGTCACACTTGTACTGTTGGCGGTCAAAAATGACCACATTGGAAACGAATTTCATCGAGTGAAAACTTTAGCTTCTGCGGCCAAACAAAATCTTACTGAAAGCTCATTTTTTTGAGATATGAATCTCAAATTTGGATCTCAACTTTTTTAGATTCATGGCTTTGATTTTCTCACAGTTTTAGCGTAAAACGTGTTTTGAAAAATATATATTTCAAATAAAATGTAAAAATATTTTTATGCATTTTACATAATAATACACTTAAACTTCTATATTATTTCATTTTCATTAATCATTTTTTTCAACTTTTTTTTATTTCAGCAATAATCTGTCAAGAGTCATTTTTAAAAAGAGACCAAACTTAAGTGGAAATTTCATTTTCAGGTGATCAATCCTCTATGCTCAAAAAGTAGTTAACAAGTAATAAATGGATCATAACTATTCCATAAATATAATTAAGTACCATCAAATCCCCTAATAATACAACATGTTAAATACAAAAACATCACCCTAAAATATAGTACATTGATTTTTATTTTTGAAATAAAAGTTTGTTTTTTTTCCTCGATCATTCCACAAGGTCTAGAATATAATTATTGCATATCGCTGTCGCGACTGGTTAGTACAAACACTGTTAGTACAAACACTCAGATTAAAATGAAAAATATGTATTTTATCGCGTCGCTGTGTCACGTCAGGTCTGGATAGTGCTAAAAGAGTATTTTAAAGAGTTCTCTGAAATACTTCTGACTTCTGATTGGTCAATGAACAAATTGTCTCTTAAATATTTTTTGTATAATGACAGGCAGACTAGCCTATACAGTATAACTGACGGTTGTCCCGACTCCTAGGCAAACAATTTCTTACAGTCAGCTGGTCATTAGGGTTGGGTATCGAGAATCGAGTATCGATTGGAACCGGGACTAACTTTTCGTTTTTCCCGGAATCGTTCAAAAGTTAAAATTTCGATTCCTAGTTTCGATATTCACAGTCCGCCGAGCGGAAGAAGAAACCGCTGAACAACACCAACGAAGAAGCGTCTACCGGAAGTGTTGGCATAACCACGCGAGTCGAACATGAGTAGCTTACGTCGGCGATCCAAAGTGTGGCTTCACTTTTCTAAAAATAACGAAATCTCGGCAAAATGCAAAATTTGTGACAAAAGGAGTATTTTTACAGAAGGAGTATTTCCTTCAGAAAGGATTATTTCCTTCAGAAAGGCCGTTGGTTAGCAAGGTTAGCTAAACTTTTTTGACCCTGCCTCTTAAAAGAATCGGAATCGAGAATCGTTAGGAACCGGAATCGAAACAAGGAATCGCAATCGGAATCAGAATCGCTCAAATTCAAACGATACCCAACCCTACTGGTCATTATTGGAAAATTAAAGTAAACAAATAATGTACCTTCACAGAAACACTTTCAGACCCCTATTCCTTATTTAATATCTGTAAAACTCTATATGGAGCTTTGTAAATGAAGTGTACCAGGTTGAGATAGAAGTCATCCTGCAACTCTGGGGCATCAAGGACCTTGAACGGGATCTTGGAAATCTTGCGTGCAGGCTTTCTGGGTGAGCGCAATAGTTTGTGACTACAGATAAAAAAGAAAAAAGAAAAAGATCACACATTTAGTTGGTTTAATCCAAGTTACATTTTATAGAAATTGACAGGCATATCTAGAATTTGGATAAAATTAAAATGTACAAAAAAGTCTGTGTTATAAACATAGATAAACGGCCTCATTTCCCTCATTTTAGGTAAATCGTGGCCACAATGTACTAATTTGTTCCCTTATTTCCTAATTTTATAAATCATGCACTTTGAACAAATTCTTAATTTGTGGCCGCTAAATCGTGTAACTTACTAAAAACAAATTGCCAAAATGATAAGAAAAATAAACTTAATTCAATATACATTTGTAAACATTTTATGTGTATTTTCTTTCCAAGTAAATGAGTTTCCAATGCAAACATAAAAAAAAGATCATCGGCTCAGTAATATTTTGAATTAATGCAGAGGTCAAAGAATGATACCTTTTGTTACTGAGAGGAGAGAGGGAATAGGGGGAGATTTCATTGTCAAAAGGCACTCTCTTTGTGAGGATGGTGTACTGAGAGACACAAGAAAAACAAGAGTTATACAACAAGAGTCTCAAAATAAACTCAAATGTGAGAACAAGCAGAACACAAACATGCTTCTCCAGTGACTTTTTTACATGGCACATGGATCTGTCATGTAAACTCACCCTGAAGAGGCTGTGTGTGTCCTGTGTGAGGATGGTGTGTCGACGGTCATCTGTGTGAGGATCAGGCACGGTTTCGATTCCTGCTCCCAACAGCTCATTCCTCAGCAGGGCAGCATACGCCACAGCATCTGTAAAACACAACAATGCTTTTTTGTTATTTTCTTCTATATACTGTATATACACACTTCTTTAACGTTCGTTACTTTTTTTTCAGCAAGAATTATTTGTAGATAAAATGATATACTGGTATGTAAAATAAACAATGTTCTTCTGAACTTTCCTGAAAAAGTCCTGAAAAAGTATTGGGGGAAATATATATAGCGGGCACAAATTAATATATACATTTCGATCATGAAAACTCTTGAAATAGTTTTAGCACGTTATTAAATATGGCAATGTTAATGTATTTGGTAGATATGCTGCTGCTGCATGAATAGACATACTTGAATCCTCTAGCAGATCTAGGCAGGTGGAGCTGGGGGAGGTGGAGGGGTTCAGAGGAACTCCGATACAGGACTAGCCTACAGAAAACACTGAACCAGATTATTTAAATTGTTGAGTAGGGATGTGACGTGAGAATATTTTTAGTGGGCGAGAATTGCTTTAATGATGGGTTCATTTTTATTCTTAAAGGACAAGTTCAGTATTTTACAAGTGCCCTGTTTTAAGATTGTTTCTGATGAAATAGTGTGGTTAAGATTGTTTTTTAGACAGATGCTTTTGGATTCTGTGGTAGCACCCCCACGCCTCTACAATGGTAGCATAGGTGCACAGGAACTGAACAACATGTAACACCAGTAACACAGAATATCGCAGCATGCAATCTCATTGCATCAGCAGAGGCCAATCAGCTTGTGCCTTAAGGTAATGATGTGATTGCTTGTAGACTGCATGTAAAGTATCTATCAGCCTCAGCCATCTACAGTTTCATGACTGAATTAGATTTATATTTTTTTTCATTAAAATCGAGGGCATGTAAAAGATGATGCAGAATGACTTCACCTTTCCCTGTGTCTGTACTAGCATCCTTCGCCCGCTGATTCTGATTGGGTGTCCAACAGTTCTCCTACAAACATAAAGCAAAAATGAACGTGTTTATAGAGGTGCAATGACAATAATGCACTGGCTTTAATCTATCATTCTTTTACTGTGGATGAGTGTAAACTGTTCAGATGAATGGTAACTTACATTGGCATAGTGGAAGTTTATGCTCCAGTTGCTCCCGGCACGCGTGGGGATAAACCTGTCTCCTGATTTCACCGTAACCGGACTGCACGCTGCATACCCTGACTGCACAAACAGTAATACATAACTGGAACAGACAATCAACGTGTAGCATTATACGTTTTGCCTCTTTATTGAACACACATTTAATAAATAAAAAGTGGAATTTAAAAAAAAAGTCTCTGAAATTTAAAATTCAGGTGCAAAATGTTCTGTAATAATTGATTTTTTTTAAACAAAATGTATTCTTATTCTTATCTAATATTTTCACATACCAAAGTAGGGTTTAAAAGACAATTAATATTCATTATTGCAGACTAATTCAGCTGCACTGGCACTATCAGAAATGGGTAATGACACTATCTTTGTAACATCGACATTAAACACTGAAGTGACCTGAGATGAATACTGACACTATGGCCGTATGTAGAGCAGCTTTACAGTGGAATTTGACTCTTCACATGATTAATGATAATAACTTTGCAACATTAGGTTTGCGCAAAACTTTTACAATATTTTCTAAATGTCGATAAAAAACTATTGCGAAATGACGTTTCCAATAACCGATGTTATGCAACTAAAACGTCTTTTGTTCCTCTTGTGATAAGTAATTCCAAAAATCATGGCAATGGACGTTGGTAGGTTTATATCACAGCCACCGCACTAGACATAAATATATATATATATATATATATATATATTAAACAAAATATAAAAAAAGACTTTTCATGGCAATGGACGTTGGTAGGTTTATATCACAGCCACCGCACTAGACATAAATATATATATGAGATAATAAAGTTAGGGTCTTTTTCAACCTTACCTTAGACGGGTGGCCCTCTGGGACATTCTGGTGGTTGATTTGCCTTAACAGGCGTCTTTCATATTCCTGGTCCATTTCTACTGTAAACTACAGTTACACTCTCTCCATCAGTCTGCAGATGGGGGTCCTCCAAGGTCTCCCATCCCTACAGAAAAATGATGAATGCATGATTGATAACACTCACTCATTGTGCTTTGCTTATTTTCTAAACATCTGCTCCAATGACAGCTGTCAGTAAGTGTCAACCTCTCATCAACAAAACGTCTGTCATTATCAATTCATCACATTTTGATTGTCACCTGAACTGGTTTCTGACCTGGTTTATTAAAATGTTTAATTCAAGTCATTATAAGATCTGCTAGAAGACAAGCATTAACGTTACACCACATTAATCACAATAGCAGTCTAAAAGCACACGTTTTTTAAGTTATTCATGATGGTTTTATTAAAAAGACGAGTGTTAATGCCAGCGGGAGGGTTGTACACGCGTATGTAATCAGTTGCCATGGCAGCTCGCTAACAGCGCTGAGCTAAAGGAAGATTTGCATCTTACATTATGGCACGATAACAACGATTTTCCGAGCTGAATAGATTTAAAAGACCTTGAAACCTCGTATTAGAAAAGAAAACCGTCTTACCTTAGCCAAGTGCTCAGGAACCCCACATTATACTGACATGTGATGTGTGTTCAGCAGCTATACGTGCGCAATGATTTCCTAAACATCTAACGTTAGTTCGCTTTTTCTCGATGCGGCAACAAAGGATTAAGGCTGTTTTGGTAATGTGCTGTAAATTTTCCGGTCTTTGGAGATAATAGTACGATCATTGAGCAGAGGGTATCAATGTTTATGTTCATGTCAAGATGGCGAGCAAATCAGCTGTGAGGTGAAAGAGTGATTCCGCGCACGTCCACAAGAGGCGCAGCGAGAGGAGAGGAGATGCTTATACATGGGATACTAATACACATATTGATCTATTCAGTATTGGTGTGTATCTCAAGTATTTCCTTTTTTACAAGGTTTCTAAGTAGAAAATGGATGCATGTTTTCTCAGTCCTGTTACCATCTCATGTGCCTTTTAAAAAGCATGTTTAAAAGCATGACAATTCTGTTTTGTGTGTTATTATATTTATTATAATGTGATTTTAAAAAATCACTATATATAGCTATTAAGGCGAGGTGAATTTTAATAAAAACCCTCTAATTTTAACAAAGACCAAAAGCCTCAAGTTTATCTTGTTTTAGTATACTTTCATTTATTAAACAATAAATGGAACAAAAACAAAACTGATAAAAACAGTGGTTTAACTATTTTTTTTAGAAGAAAAATCAAATGTAATCTACAGGAATGGACACTTGGTAACAGGAATGTGTCCATGTTGTGTCTGTGTGAGTGATAGAGATATAGATAGAGAGTGTGTGTAGTCTACATAGCCATGTGTGCATGTGTGTGTATGAGATTTCTGCATTGAAGGGATGTGCTAGAAGTCCTTCACAGCGAAGAAGGTGGAGAGAGAAAGAAAGAATGTAACAAGGAGAGGGAGGGATGGAAAGACAAAAGAGAGGGTTGCGGGTGTGTTTCGCTCCTTCATGTTTCTATTGCATGGGTTCTCTTCATTTTCTACAAGATAAGATATTGAAAGACAAGGACAAAAATACAAAGACAAAAAGTTTAAGTCACTTAGTGGTGCACTGCTCCCTGGAAGTATGGTACTATTCACATTGTAAAACTATCCAAATGTCAATAATTTGTACAAGTATTTTCAACTGTAAAACTCATAAGGTGAATGGTATAAACTAATATTCACACTATTAAATCAACAAAACAGAGGACTCTACTCACTCCTGTTACTTTAACTCAATCCTGTTATTTTTCATGCGAGTAACACGACTGAAAGTAACAGGATTGGACAGGTAATACAGGTAATAATAATAACTGCCAGACAATAAATGCGGAAAACAAACAAAAAAGTTACTTACTTGGAAAAAAAAGTAATCTGATTACATTACTCACATTACTTGTAATGCATTACCCTCAACATTGCTGATTACTTCAATGACAAAGAATGTCTGAGATGATGAATATACACAATTTATATTTATATTCTATTAGCAACATGTAGGCTACTATAGGTCAAAGTCATTATTACTTTGTATAGTGGAAAGGTCAACGTCAGTAGTAGAGCCTTCAAGGTCTAACACACAGAAATCAGTTGTTGTTTCTTAGATGTGCACATGGATGGGATTTAACCATTTCGTAAACAGTTACATGGTTGTTCATTTGGTTCTGTAAAGCTTTTTTTTAAGGGTAATGAGAAATCTTGATTGTACCCCATGTCTGTTTTACAGGAATGCATGATTGCTTATACTTTGTGCATAACAGTCTTTCCTTAAATCTTCACCACTGCAAGGTGAAATCCTTTCAAATTAATCACACAAAATTAATAATAATAGCATTTAACAGAGCACGGGGAGATGATGGAGTGTCTGCAGTATGCAGGATTTGGTTGTGTTTCAGGTCAGGAAGCATCAGCTCACCTGCATAATTCGGCACTAGAGCCCCAGGGTCCCTGTCATGTGGTTTATCCTCCAGCCAGTGTCTGTCCAGGTGTTTGCTGTCCAGAGGAACACGCAGATCTCCACAATGTCAAGAGGAGGATCATTTGATTACAAGTAACTCACAAGAACTACAATTTTTATGTAAACATGAAGACTGAAGTCTTTGGATGACTTCATGAGTTTGAAGTGTTGAAATCAAGACACCAGCAAGGATCACGAAGCTCCAGCTCTGAAAGTTCTCTCTAATCAAATGAGCTTTAGTGATTTAGAGGTGTAGACTCGATCCTGGAGGGCCACTGTCCTGCAGAGTTTAGCTTCAACCCCAATTAAACACACCTGAACCAGCTCATCAGTATCGTAGGGCCTAAAAATTAGCTGGTTCAAGTGTGTTTAATTGTTGGAGCTAAACTCTGCAGGACAGTGGCCCTCCAGGACTGAGTTTGAAACCCCTGCTGAACCATTAAAGCTAATTTGATTGGAGAAAATAACCACCCTGCCCTTTTGTCAATCACTGGATATATGAATATGTCCAAGTCCTGCCTAGTGATGTAAAACAGGCTGCGTACTTATGGATAATGAGATGGCATGAGGGAAAAACAAGAGTTTCCCATCACAGCAGGCACTGACAGCACGGCTCCTCAAGACAAGCAGTAACAGAGCCTGTTGCTGTCGAATAACCCCTAGTGAACACCTTACCAAGTTGTTTTGATGTGAAGAAGCGGTGCATGAAGTTTTTTTGGTAACGCTTCCTTTTACAGTGAAGTACTTACAGTGTACTTACAGTGTACTTACTGGCTAATATAAGGTAAGTACACGGAACAGGGGTAGGTTTAGGGGTAGGTTACTAGTTATTACCCAATAGTTACTAAAATAAGTACATAGTATTTACATGGGTAACTGGACTGTAAAAGGAAGCGTTACCGTTTTATTTATTTTTTTAACACGGGTCGTGGAGCCTTAAAACAAAACTATGGCACTGACCTAATTACATATGTCAGTGCAAGTTACTTTAAAGGAGTAGTTCACTTTTAAAAAAGCTTTTTCTGATAATTTACTCACCCCCATGTCATCCAAGATGTCCATGTCTTTCTTTCTTTAGTCAAAAAGAAATTAAGGTTCATTCCAGCATTTTCTCCATATAATGGACTTCAATGGGAACCAAACGGTTCAAGGTCCAAATGAGAGTTTCAGTGCAGCTTCAAAGGGCTTTAAACGACACCAGACAGTGAATAAGTGTCTTATCTAGTGAAAGATCACTCATTTCAAAAATAAATAACAAAGTTAGTTTTATAAGCACAAATGCTTGTCTTGCTCTGTTTTATGATGAGCGTTTGTGACTCTCCTGTTCAAACTCGTTCATCAAAATGAACAAATCTTTTTCGAGTCATGACTCGAAGGGTCCTAGATAAGACCCTTATTCATCGTCTGGTGTCGTTTAAAGCCCTTTGAAGCTGCACTGAAACTCTCATTTGGACCTTGAATTGTTTGGTTCCCAATGAAGTCCATTAGATGGAGAAAATCCTGGAATGTTTTCATCAAAAACCTTAATTTCTTTTCAACTAAAGAAAGAACGAAGTGGACACCTTGGATGATGTGGGGGTGAGTAAATTATCAGCAAAAGTTTTTATTTTATTTTATTTTTTTTAAGTGAACTACTCCTTTAAGTTAAAACGGCTCAAACTTGCATTTTAGTCTGGGACTAGACCCAAGCCTTGTCGGTGAAACCAGGGGATCATTTTTTACCTATTTGTACTAAACAAACATGTCAATTACAATTTAACTGAATTATTAAATGAACAAACTTGTTTGCATTAATATCATGTTAACTCTAAAGCTAAGTGCTAGTTAGCATCAGCACACTTGCATGTGCCAATAACTCTCAAGGAGATTATCTCTATTTTAGCATCATGCAGTATTTAGAATAGATGTCCATCCTTTAACCACTGGCTTTACACTTTATCACAGTGCTCAACATAAAAGAAACCCCTGTAAATCATAACATAACAGAACATTAAACACTAACACACCTCTCCCTATTAATCTTGGTGCAAAAACACACAAAATTACACATAATTTCAACATGTATTCTCCTTACAGTCTGATGCAATGTATGTTGATGGAAACTAAATCTGCTGCAGCTCAGTCAGTTTAAGTTACGCTTGATACAATCAGATTTTGATTTTGCTTAACTGTTTTCTATTAAGTACAATTAACTTTCAGTAATATTTGTGTGAAATGAATTTCATTTAATTAGTTCAAACTGTGCAGTTTGTAACATGTCAACTTCCCCACATGTCAATCATTGCGTCAAGTCTTGTTTTCCCCATTTTGAAAACCGATAATGACCAGCCCTTGTGAAATTGAAATGCACTTAGTTGTTAGTGAATGTGCACTTTTATTGTACTTCAAATCTTAAAGCATATATATTTTTTGAAACTGTACAAATAAAATATTAATGAAATAAAAGGGCACGTTTAAAGAGAGTACACACATTACTTTGTTTAAAGTGCATTTTGTAATAATGTCAAATTTAAGGTTTTACATTTTTAAATAACTGTTTTATTAATAGTTTGTAATTATTAAAGCAGAACTTTGATTAACATTTTAAAGCACATGTAAACAAGTGATTTTACATTTGCATTACATTACATTTACATTTTAAATATATTTTAAATAGACTAAATTGCAACCCATTCACTACAAATGTATAAGTAGATTTTTTAAGAGCATTTTCAATTGAACTGACATGAAATAGTTTACCATAATTGCTTGACAGCTGCAAGTGGTGGCGATTGTGATTCACTTTATGCAGTTAGGAAATCTTTAATTGTTCAAGTTGTTATTTATCTCCTAAACAAGTTATTCTGTCCGAGTGGGGCCAAAAAGTATTTAGTCAGCCACTGATTGTGCAAGTTCTCCTACCTAGAATAATGAGAGAGGTCTGTAATTTTCATCATTTTTAACTATGAGAGACACACAAAAAAAATATCAAGGAAATTACATTGTAGGATTTTTAAAGAATTTATTTGTAAATTATGGTGGAAAATAAGTATTTGGTCAATAACAAAAGTTCAGCTCAATACTTTGTAATATAACCTTTGTTGGCAATGACAGAGGTCAAATATTTCCTGTAAGTCTTCACCGACTTACAGGAAATATTTGACCTCTGTCATTATTTGATATATATTTGATATAGAGGTCATTATTTGACCTCTGTCAATATTTGACCTCTGACATCTGAAATATTTGACCTCTGTCACCTGCAGGTTTGCACACACTGTAGCTGGTATTTTGTCCATGCAGATCTCCTCTAGAGCAGTGATGTTTCGGGGCTGGCGCTGGGCAACACGGACTTTCAACTCCCTCCACAAATTTTCTATGGGGTTGAGGTCTGGAGAGACTGGCTAGGCCACTCCAGGACCTTGAAATGCTTTTTACGGAGCCACACAGGTGTGTTTGGGATCATTGTCATGCTGGAAGATCCAGCCACGTTTCATCTTCAAGGCTCTCACTGATGGAAGGAGGTTTTGGCTTAAAATCTCACGATACATGGCCCCGTTCATTCTTCCCTCAACACGGATCAGTTTTCCAGTCCCCTTTGCAGAAAAACAGCCCCAAAGCTTGATGTTTCCTCCCCCATGCTTCACAGTAGGTACGGTGTTCTTCTTCCTCCAAACATGACGAGTTGAGTTTTTACCAAAAAGTTCTATTTTGGTTTCATCTGACCACATGATATTCTCCCAATCCTCTTCTGGATCATCCATATGCTCTCTGGCAAACTTCAGATGGGCCTGGACATGTACTGGCTTAAGCAGGGGAACATGCCTGGCACTGCAGGATTAGAGTCCCTCTCGGTGTAGTGTGTTACTTACGGCAGCCTTTGTTACTTTGGTCCCAGCTCTCTGCAGGTCATTCATCAGGTTCCTCCGTGTAGTTCTGGGATCTCATGATCATTTTGACCATTCTTGCATGGAGCCCCAGATCGAGGGAGATTATCAGTGGTCTTGT